CCAAATTACTGACCATTTTCTTTTCATAGGGTGTCAATGGGCCAAGGTCAATATCAGCACCAGAGCCATTTCTTCTGCCAGGACTAAGTATTATAACTTCCGTTTTGCTCTCATTTAGGTGCAAAAAATTAGAAGCCATCCAGCATTTCATGTCCTTCAAGCAATCCAGTAAAGGAGAAACAGATCTATCCTCCCCACGTTGAAGAGGGAGATAGATCTGGCAGTCATCAGCAAAGAAATGAAATTTCATATTATGCTGGCGAAGGAGGACTCCAAGAGGAAGCAAATACACTGCAAATAGGAGAGGACCAAGGACAGAGCCCTGTGGCACACCCCAACGAAGTTTCACGCTGGGTGACGTTACCTCACCCATCTGAACACTACATGTCCTGTCTTGAAGAAAAGAGCGAAGCCATTGGAGGGCCTGCCCAGTTATCCCCACCCAATGCTGTAGTCGGTCCAAAAGGACTTCGTGGTCGACTGTATCAAAAGCTGCAGATAAGTCAAGCAATAGCAGAACAACATCATTGTCCATGTCACAGGCTAAAAACGTGTCATTAAAAACCATTAAAAGAGCAGATTCGGTGCTGTGACCTTTCCTGAACCCTGACTGAAAGGTTTCCCATAAATCATTTGTGTCCAAAAAGGCAACCAATTGTGAATACACGACCTTCTCCAGCAGTTTGGAAAGAAAAGGGAGTTTTGAGATGGGCCTGTAATTAGCTAAGGTTGTCACATCCAGCCCCGGTTTTTTTAACATAGGATGAATAACAGCCTTCTTAAACGAGGACGGAACCATACCAGAAGTAAGACTGCCATTTATGATTGCCAACAGCAAAGGGCCTATCACTGGAAAGAGTTCTTTATAAATTCTTGGGGGCAGCACATCACAAGGAGAGCCAGAAGGTTTGAGCTGAGCAACCAGTTTTTCCAAGTCTGATAATGTAACAGTCTCAAATGTTTCCAGTGTAGCCTGGAGCGGCTCTGGGAGTAGAGAGTCAGGTGGTGAGTTTGTAATGGCAGCTCGAATAGATGTAACCTTATCAACAAAAAAGTGAAGAAAGTCATTACAAGTTTCAACGGTGGGAGGCAAAGAGCTAGAATCAGAGAACTCAAGTAGCAAATTTACTACAGAAAAAAAGAGTGCGTGGATCGTGAGAATTTTTTTTCCACGATATCAGCAAAGAACTTCACCCTTGCTTCCTTAAGAGTTTGCTGATAGCTAAACAAAGATTCTCTGAATATCTCACGAGAGACTTGGAGTCTGTCTTTCTTCCATTTCCTCTCTGCCCTCCTACAGGATTGCCTGCAGGCCCGAACATCATCAGAGAGCCATGGTTCTGGCCTAGGCCTCTTCTTTCTAATCCTAAGAGGTGCAATTTTATCCAAAATGTTTTTACAAATACTGTCAAATTGGAGTGAAAGCTCCTCTGCATTAAGTGACATTGTGTGTAGCTCACTTCCTTCTGCACATAGGAGCTCACCAAGCTCAATAATCTTTGCTGCATTTAAAACACGACGGAATCTCACATGAGAGGAAGCCACAGCAGGCATGCAGGGCAAGTTAAAATCACATAAAATGGGCGAGTGATCAGAAAAAACCGGGCTCAGTATCTCTACACCAGCAACAGAGAGACCAATAGACATCACTAAATCCAAGGTGTGTCCCTGCGCATGAGTAGGACCCAGGACCCACTGTGACAGATTAAGGGGAGCCCAACAGATGTAAAAAGTGTGGATCTAGTTTAGCTGGATCTCACCTGCTCTGACCTTATTAGGATGGTCTGTATCTGATATAGCGCCCTCTAGAGCCTGGAACCCCTCAAGGCGCTTTACAACACACTCAGTCATTCACCCGTTCACACGCTGGTGGTGATGAGCTACGATGTAGCCGCCGCTGCCCTGGGGCGCACTGACAGAGGCGAGGCTTCCGACCGCTGGCGCCACCGGTCCCTCCGGCCTCCACCAGCAGGCAAGTTGGGTTAAGCGTCTTGCCCAAGGACACAACGACAGCGACAGACTGAGAGGGGCTCGAACCTGCGACCTTCTGATTTACGGGGCGAGCGCTTAGCTCCTGTGCCACCGCCGCCCCAGTTCCAGGTTCCAGATAGAGGTGAGAACCGCTGCAGACCTCAGATCAGGACGTCGTCGCTGAGAGAATCACGGTTGGTCAGGACGAGGCTCTTATGTAGACAACTGTGAAAGCATCAGTTGCCGTGGTGATACATCCAGATGAGTGTTTTTGCTTCAAGAGTCAAAAAACTCCATAAAAAGCTCCTGAAACTCGATTCTTGTTGATCGTTTATCCAGAAATAAAATGTCTCGGCTACTTATCAATGACATGATCAGTAAGATGTGATGTTCCGTATAAACATGAAATATCCATCTGATTGGTCTTTGAATGTTTGACCTAATATTCCTTCTGGTTCTTTGACGTATTCAGGGAACACACACTTCACATTAACTCACACAGAGTCAAGAATATAGTCATAAAAATGACTTTATTTTCCTAAACTAAATGATTTGACATGACAAGGTATGAATGAAATGATGGTTGTACAGATAACAGGTGATCAAATCAAATCAAAGGTACTTTATTGTCATGTCCTGTGTCTCTTTGTTCCCCAGCCCCTCCAGTTCCACTTCAGGTTTTCCTCGTGTCCCATTATTATCCCCAGCCCTCCGTAGACTCCCCTCAGGTGTCCTTCTAATCATTCCCTATTCCTAGTCAATCTTATTTTAGTCTTCCTCATCCGTCTAGTTGTTTGTTTATTTTTTGCCCTCAGTCTTTAGGTTTAGTTTTGTGTTTATAGGTTTAGGTCTATCTGCCCTCTGGTCAAGCTCCTTCCCTTCCCATTTTGTTGATTGATTCCACCAGTTTCTCCTCAGCTCTCACTCCTCACACCTGTCACCTGTTTCCCTGATTACCTCCCTCCTGTTCATAAGCCTTGTCTTGTCACTCTGTGTTTGTCGGTCCATGGTCTTAAGTGTTGCGTTGTTTGTTCCCCTCTCGAGTCTCTCCGAGTCTCTGCTCATGTGTGAGTTTAGTTAATTTTGAGTTTTTTCAAGTTTTTGAGTATTAGTCTTATTTTGTGCTTTGGACTTGTCAGCACACCCGCCTTAAATAAAGGAATTGTTTTTCTTAAGACCTCTCCTGCCTTTGAGTCGTTCTGGGCATCTGCATCCTGGGTCCAACCTCCTCTCCTAACCATGACGTTTGTTAATCCCAGAGGGAAATTAGAGTTTCAGTACACACAATTCAGAGATCAGACATACATGGGCAAGACACATGACAAGAATTGGTGACTGTAGTCATTCGCAACCCTGAGTCGCGCTACCTTAATAGAGATCAGAGGGTAACATGAGGATTGGTTCAGGTGGAGGGAAAAAAAGGCACTTCAGAGTTACCCTCCACCAGGAGGGCAGCTTTGCGCTGCAAAAAACACCTCAGACAGATATGCAACAGACTTCAGACAACACAACATAAGTGTCCACTAGGTGGGGTGGTGGGTTGGGACTCTCCCCACTTCAGTTCCTGCAGCCACGATGAAGCAGCGCATGTCACCTCAGTGTGGGTGGGGGGAGGAGCATTGAGGGTTGGAGGGTTGCAGTGACCCTGGAATGATTTGGCGGCCTTCCCGCAGTCTCACCCAGGCTGGGAAAGGAGACACAGTTGAGTTGCCATAGCGACGGCACATTCCACATATCTTCTGAGGGGGAGTTTTCGTTGGAGCCTTGCAGGCTCAAGGGCGCCAGATTCCGATTAGAAATTGTTTTGGGGCCAGGCAGAGATAATTTCCTCTCTGTCTTACAGTTTGTTGGTCCTCAACCTCTCAGAATCCCAATAATGGACATTAATCTATCCCAATCCGTGCTGATTTGTCCACTCTATCCTTGATGGCATCCATCTTTGTGACAATGCATGAATCTCGGCCAAAGTCCCAAGCTCACGATTCATCTCGACAATTATGTGAGTCTGTGAATTCACAGCGCGGTGCAACCCATCTCTGAGCTCCGGGATCAGGCCAATATTCCTCGACAGCTCGTTAATTTTCTGGAAAGCCAGGAAGCCTCCAATGCCGATCAGCAGGAAACCCGACACCAACACAGTGAAGTGATGGAAAGGAAGCTAGATGTTTCAGCAGGACCTTCTTGAGTATCTGAGACTGAGCTGGTGAAGTCTGTTTGGCTGCATGGTTTGATAATCTAAACTTTATTTAGTATAAAACCATCCGATGCCGATGTGCAGAGTCTACGATACCCTGCACGTGTCGTTCCCGGCGGTCCGGAGGAAAGGCAGCCTGAGCGGTGAGTCACCGAACGTCGGGACCGCGAGAACCCAAAGAGTCGTAGCTCCTGATGAACTCAGCCTTCACCGGCCGTGAGACGCAACCAGGGCCTGCAGGTTAGAGGTCTGTCTGCAGTGCTAAAAGAGCCGCTGTGTCTGAAATCACTCGCAAGCGTTGCAGAGAGGCTTTGACCTTCAGGTCAAAAGAGAGGACGGGTCCAAATGCTTGCTCTCCGCTCGGCCGAAGCAGGAAGCAGCGGGAGAACTCCTATATCAGGAAGTGATTCCTGTATGTGTTAAACGTTGTTTATAAATCAGAATTTGACACGTTTAAAGACGTTACCGAAATCCCTCAGAAACCACGCCTTCCCTCAGAGGTTAGGTCTTAGTGTGACGTGGATGTTAAACATTAATATTAATCTTGTGACGTATGAGAAACTGATTAAATCCAACGCTGATCCGGTCTAGTTCAAGTCTGGAATGAATCACTGCAGCAAAAATCCTCTTTTTAACACATCGCTGATTAATGCACACGTTATTCACACACTTCAGGGTTCAGCAAGAGAAGATTATGTGACATTTATCACATTTTAACAAGTCATTTATGATTGAAGGAAGATGAACTTCATTCAGAGTGAAAGTGCCGAAGTCTCGTCGTCCGCATCAGACCTCGGGAGAAGACGCTGTGGCTTCCTTGTTTGGTAACGAGGTCCTGTGCTTTCCTGCTTGGAGGCCAGATGGATGGAGTGTTTGTGTCTGCAAATGAAAAAGTTCATTTCTGGTCATTTTGGTGAAAACTTGACCTTTGGGTACGCTACACACACACAACACACACACACACGAGGCTGCAGCTGATCGACCAAAGGAAACAGGAAGACGTGCGTGTAAGGTGTGTAAAACAGGAAGTTCTTGATTTAGAGAAGTGAAATAAGAAGAAAAGTTTTTGTGAAGCAGAAGGAAACATCAGAGCTACAACATGGACGTCCATCGTGCTTCGTTCTGCTTTCTCCTCCTCTGTGAGTATTTTTGTTTTCATTTCTGCTTTTTCCAAATGTGAATTATTATTCAACCAGAAACATTTTACTCCATCCATCCATCCATCCATCCATCCATTTTCATCCGCTTATCTGGAGTCGGGTGGTGGGGGCAGTAGCCTACGGCGAGAGGCCCAGACTTCCCTCTCCCCAGCCACTCACTGAGCGCCTGGTGGCCGGGCTTTCGCCCACGGCGCCCGGCCGGGCACAGCCCATAGAGGCTCACCACTCGTGGGAGGGGCCAAAGGTGTTGGGTTCAGTGTGTGACGGTGGTAGCCGAAGGCGGGGACCTTGGCGGTCTGATCCCCGGCTACAGAAGCTGGCTCTCGGTATGTGGAATGTGACCTCTCTGGTGGGGGAGGAGCCTGAGTTGGTGGGTAAGGTTGAGAGGTTCCGACTAGCTATCGTCGGACTCACCACAACGCACGGCTCTGGGTCCAGAACCAGTTTCCTTTTGGGGCTGGACGCTACCACTCCGGGGTTGCCACGACTGAGAGGCGCCGAGCAGGGCTGGGCATACTAGTTGGGTGTTGAGGGGATCGTTTCGGTGGCCTGAGGATTGAGTCTCTGCTTTTTGCAGATGATGTGGTCCTGTTAGCTTCATCAGAACATGATCTCCGGCTCTCACTGGAGTCAGAAAATGGTGGAATGCCTTCTCCGGGTCAGGGATGAGGTCCTGCCCCGAGTGGAGGAGTTAAAGTATCTCAGGGTCTCGTTCACGAGTGAGGGAAAGCTGGAGAGCGAGATCAACAGGTGAATTGGTGGCCCAGGCATCTGATTAGGATGCCTCCTGGCGCCTCACTGGTGAGGTTTTCCAGGCACGTCCAACTGGAAGAAGACCTAACAGAAGACCCAGGACACGCTGGAGGGACCGAGTCTCTCGGCTGGCCCAAGTGGCCTCCCTGCTTAGGCTGCTGCCCCCGCAACCGGACTCCGGATAAGCGGCCGAAAACGGATGGATGGACTGTTTTCTGACGTGTTACATTCTGAAGCAGAACATGATGAGGCCTCTTTAGTTTTCATAACTAATCTTTTCTGCAGGTCTGCAGGTCAGAAGCAGCTCTAGAGCCGAGGAGCAACATTTTTATGACTATCCAGGAGAAACGGTGACCATTACTTGCGTCTTCTCGTCACCTGGAACATGGAGGATGTTCTGCAGGGAGAACTGTGAAGGGGAGAACGTTCTCATCAAAACTTCTGAGAAGGAAAAAAAACGTAAACGATACAAAACGGAGTACAAATCTTCTAAGTCCAACTTTCGCCTGGATGTGAGCATCTCAGACCTGACCCTGTCAGACTCTGGACTCTACACGTGTGGGTTGGGTGGTTCCTCTTCAGTTTCATACCACCAGTTCAGACTCGTGGTTGTAGACGGTGAGTTTCTCTGTTTCACATCTATTCCACTCCTCTACAGAGAAGCTTCACTTCTCACAATCAAAGCTCCAAACCAGCATGTCCAGTCGGACTGGTAGAAGTGGGCGTATCCCAGCGTAACGTGATGAAGGAGCTATTCCTCAAGGTCATTTATCCTCTAACCACAGTTCCCTTTGACACAACGCCAGAGTGCATGAAACAGCCTCAAGGTCATGCATTCGCTTCTAAACTGTTTACTTTCCAGCGATGAAGACAGAAGATGAAGAGACTCTTTTCTTTTCTTTTATTAAATCAAAGAACTCTATTTTCAATAAAGCTAATCTAAACAACTGTTAGTCAATAATACAATGTGACCGATCTGTGAACTCACAATATTATGATTAATATGTTTTTAATAAGTAATATGACTTATTTTAGTCCACTAGACACACTGATACACTAAGTTAAATAATCACATGACACATTGCTGTACTGATCCAATCAGAACCTTCCTAGTCTGAAGCGTGGCGAGTCTCTGCAGTGTTTATTAAATCTGTCGGCTTTGATTCGTCCAGAATCAAAAACATCCAGATTAATAAAACAGTTCCAACGCCATCTTAAGTTCAGTATTCAAGATCTCGTTCTCAAGATCCCCTGAAGTTCACCGCATGTTAAGTGAAGTAAGGACCGGCCATCTATACTTCTCTTGTTAAAGGGACTTTACGGAGTTTTGAATTTTTATGCTCGTGATCGCCCCCTCAGGCCAAAAGCGTGACGGCAGCTTCAATAGTAGGCTCGTGCACGAGGCGCGCATGCTGTACGTGCACGCTCCTTAACAAAAATAACAGCTGAGACAGTGTGTGTGTGTGTGTGTGTCCCGGAGGACAGAGGACAGGAGAACACGCAGCTAATTAATTAAATAATGTGGTTCTGTACCTTTCTCTTCAGCACAGCCGACAAAGGTTTATGATGGGTCAGTCCTCCTGCATGCTCAGATCATTCCCTTCCCTTGCTTGAAAAATTGTTCCAAAATGAAAGTTGAACCCACATCTTTTTTATCTGTGAATTCAATGCCGTTCGGCGAGTCTCAAATAAAAATTTGGACATCTTACTGTAAAAAAATATACCATTAATGTCAGGAACCGAGTTCAGAAGACCCGTGAAGACGCCAGCACAGTAAAAATATATTAAAAAAGTCTTTATTTAAAGCAGATGTACCTGGAGGGCAAGGCTGAGGCAGGTTCAGAGGCAGGCTAAGGTCAAAGCGGCAGGCAGAGAGCAAGGCAGGGGTCAGGCAAAAAACAAGGTCCAGAGGCAAAGATCAGGCAGGGTGGATGGCTGGAGAACTACTGGCAAGGCTGTAATAATCTGGCAGGGAACTGGTGGTTTGCTGGTGAATATATAGTAGGGGAAGCAGGTGTGTAAGATGAGCTGATGAGTGAGGAGCAGGTGAAGTGGATGAAGCTGATGAGGTCTAGGTCAGGTTGCTGTGGAAACCAGGGCGTGGCTTGAGCTTGGTGAAGGGACCAGGTGAGCCGAATGAAGGTATAATGAGGAAGTGGAGGAGGGTGAAGGATGGGAGTCATGACAATTAATATAAAAAAGAAACTCTGAATAAACTATGTTCACACCCAGAATCAAACCCAGGTCTTCTGCATGGGAGTCCACCATCTTACTAGGTGAGCTAAAGCACCAGTGACGTCCCTTTGTATCTGTAACATTTATATTTTGATGACAGCTGAAACAACGTTCACAGAACGGTTCAGAGGGCGATGCCTGAGCGTGAACGAGCATGAAGCAGCCTGCTCGACCCGAGCATCTCTCTTTTTCTGTGATTTTACAGAAAAACAGGCAATCACAGTAAAAATGCCAGGGCTCGTTCTACAGGACCAGGGCATTGCAGGAGAACGTATGAAGAAGACATTTATTATTTCTCAGAAATCAGAAAAATCAGAAAAGGCTTTATTGCCAGCGCTCCAGCGACCCAGAGCATAGGAACTTGACTCCGCAGCACAGCCTGACCAAGGTTACACACACACACACACACATGCAGACAGAACAGATACAGGCAGACCACGAGAGCAGCCATAACGGCGCTCATACACGTTTTGGCTGTCAAACTTCCATAATGTCCCTTTAAGCTGAGAGCCATTCAAGCTGGGGAAATTCCGTTGTTACCAACCAAGCAACGGTACCTTTCAGAATAAAAGCTGGACTGGCTGACCCAAGGAGGGTCTCTTTTTGACGCTGTGAACCACCTGTCGCTTTTTACCCTGAGACAATCCAAGGACTAGTTTGTCGTGCTGTGACGCTGTAACCTCGGCTCCAGTACCGGAAGGAAGGTCCGAGGACCTGGGCATTCTGGATCCATCGTGGAGGTCTCACTGAGGGTATGTGGATGCGACAAAAATGGCGTCTCATGTGTTTCTGACCACGGGTCTCAAACTCTGATCAGTTAGGAGCAAAACATCATCTCCCACTCAGACTTGCTTCTCCGGATGCGAGGGTTCTGAATTTAACATCATTCACACACGCCAACCACCTCACACTTCATTCCAACAGAACATCCATCATTAGAGAGTTAGTCTTGTTAAATTATTTAGTAATACATTTACTTAAACGTTGAAAGTCTTCTCTTGTCTCTCAGTTAATGCAAAGTGTTATTTAAAAGTCCCTGCAATAAAAAGATCCAATCTTCTGATTTAAATAACCCAGTGTCCGTAAGATGGACGAATCTTTAATGTCTTATGGTCCTTCATTAAATGTAATTTAAATTGATCATTACACCAGTGAAAACAGGAAGTAGCTGCTGATTTACTTTCATCTCCAACAGCTCTGCTGGATGGAACCAAAGATCGTCGCCTCTTTAAAGAAACCGGCAGCTCGCTCACCGTGGCCTGTTCCTTCAGCGACCCGGGAAGAAAAAAGCTCTTCTGCAGAGGAGAATGTGATGGAGACCGGATCCTGGTCCAGACGGACGGTGTCAAAGGTCAGATGGGAAGATACAGAATCGAATCTGAGAAAAGATCCTCAGAAGCGGTTCTGTATGTGAGCATCAAGCAGCTGACCTGGTCCGACTCCGGGCTCTACAGATGTCACCTGGACATCCCCAACTGGCCAGACCCATACGTAGAATTCACCCTTTCTGTCACAGACGGTGAGATTTGACCGAATTTTTGTTTGTCATCACTAACGTTGAATCACATGAGACACGACCAAACTACGACGTGTCACATGACTGCAGCACTTGTGATTTTCTTTATGACTTAAAATAAATGTTTGTCTTTTTCCGACAGCTCTGGTGGACGGAACCAAAGTTCAGCACATAGTTAAACCCGCCGGCAGCTCGCTCACCGTGGCCTGTTCCGTCAGCGACCCGGGAAGAACAAAGCTCTTCTGCAGAGGAGGATGCGATGGAGACCGGATCCTGGTCCAGACGGACGGTGTCAAAGGTCAAATGGGAAGATACAGAATAGAATCTGAGAAAAGATCCTCAGAAACGGTTCTGTACGTGAGCATCAAGCAGCTGACCCGGTCCGACTCCGGCCTCTACAGATGTCAACAGGGAAGAGTTTCCAGAAGATCCCACGGAGAATTTACCGTCGTCGTGTTCGAGGGTGAGTGCCACTGGTGCGTGTGTGTGTGTGTGTGTGTGTGTGTGTGTGTGTGTGTGTTCACAAGGGTGTTTAATCTGTTTTTTCTTTCATCTCCTTCTTTTTCAGAAGTCCAACCATCGAGCCATCAGACCTCGTCACCAACGACCACGCTGAGTTTCAGCTTCGGTGCAGGAAGTTCTCAACCTCCAGTTTCTACTGATCAGCCGGTTCTGCTGCAGGGAACGAGAACATCTGGAGGTAAACAGAACCGCGGTTGTGTGATGACCATCTGTTTGTTGCTCACAGATCAGCTGCTAAAGCCAAACGCTGCAAAATATGAATAATCAAAGAACGGGCGTAAGCAGACCCTTCAGTACCACTGAGATCCACTAAAGCCCGGTTCACGCGGCAGCATTAACGTTCCATTTTTGACCCAAATATCCCCTTCTGACAAGCTGAACCCCCCGATCACCTTAACAGCTTAAAATATAATCTCATCAGATTATCCTACCTTGTGTGGTGTGTTGAGAGCACACAGATCTGCTCAGAAGCTGTCGGGACCACTCGGAACATGTTGGATCGTCTTGATCTGATTTTCAGAGGCAAGCAAGCGTGCTACCTGCTGAATGTGACCAGTAGCCAATCAGAAAGCGAGGTGACAGAAACTCGCCGCACACTCCTTCTCCTCCTTGTTTGTTTACTCCAAAGTCATGTTTGATCCCGTGAGATTTGCTGTCTGATGGGGGAATGTTGGAGTGGGAACTTGGTTTCATCGGTCACAGAGGGCCACGCGCCGTAGGACCAGAACCGGAATGACTTTGGGATTTTTTTATCACAACGTGCGAAATCTCTCAGGTTTTGAAAATCAACCAACAACTTTAAAATCCTGCCATGTGAACCGGGTTCAAAACATTCTGTGTGTGAAACAAACAAACAAACAAACAAACAAACAAACAAGATGATCCTCCTAAACTTCTTTCAGACGTGCTGCTGTTTGTTGTTCTGACTCTGAGCTTCATCACCATCATCTTGTTTTCTGCGGCTCTGCTGGTTTTCTGCAAATACAGATCAGCTCAGAGAGGTAAGCACACACACACACACACACACACACACACACACACACACACACATGGTTTACGTGTTTAAATGATGATCAGGCTGATGTAAAATGTAATCTCCATCCACATCCAGACAGAATTATCCTCTATTCTCTGCTCTTGTCTGGGCCGACGTAGCTGACGGTGCGCGCGGCGCGCCTAACTAGCGGCTGCGACGCACATTTTACACATTTGGAGAGGTGGGCTGGATGCTTTGCTTTTACTGGAAGATGGATTTTTTTTTTTTCAAAAATGTGGGAGATGTTGCCCCATGAATAACCGTAAAAACTACCGGTGTGCATGTACCCTTATGAAAGAGTCCTACGTTGAGAGGTAAATATTAGAAGGTGATGCATTCTGGTGCCTCTAAATGAAAAATGAATGAAAATTAAATTGGGAGTTTTTACTTCATATTTTAGAATGACGTCTTTTTAAACGAAATTTTTTAGAGCGACCTGCCTGCTTCACTCACTGCTTATTGAGGTCCGTCCAAAATCACCGTGAACCACCCAAAACTGAAAACCTGGCGCCGCGCCTGTTATAAACCTCTGCAAATGGTTGTTCTTGACTTCATCAAACTCAGAGTTTGTACAGCTAATGTCAAGATGTAAAATTCTGAATTCAGTCGAGCTCTTCCCTCCCTCCCTCTCCTGTTTCTCCTTAAACCCGACAGCCGATGTCGGGTTTAAGGAGAAACAGGAGAGGGAGGGAGGGAAGGAGATGAGGCAAACAGAGAGAGTGCGAGACACCAGACTGGTGTGCAGGTGAGCAAAGCAGCTGGAAAAGTGTGGGTGTTGAACCCCCCACATCCCCCGCGGGTGCGACGCCCATGCCCCGCTGTGACGTTTAAGGAGAACTCAGAATCAGGAGCATCAGTCCGGTTGTCCTCCAGTAGAATTTAATTCATCTGAAAAAGCTCAGATCTTCAGCAGCTGTCTGGTGTTTTTCAGATCCTCCCGTGCAAACCGCTGCTGCTGCTGCTGCTGAGGTGAGTTTCAGGAACCCGCGTGTCAAACTGTCTCATACAAGTCACACATCATGACTCCTCCTCCTCACGTGTAGCCCGATGGCGTCTATGAAGATATCAGAGAAGACGAGGAGCTGAGAAGACCTCTTCCTGTGGACATCTGCACAGTCTATAGCTGCGTCTCAGTCTCCAAACCAACAGTTGCTGGAACCAACGACAGCGTCATCGCTGCTGCCTCCTCTCAGAAGGTGCGAAACAACGATTGTGCATGCTGTCAAATGTTCTCTTTAGTTTTCCTGTGATGAAAAGGAGATGTGGGTGGAGGAAGGAGGAAGGATGTTGATGTAAACGGTAAACATGACAGGATGCACCAGTCTGGGCACACCGACGCTGTGAAAACTAACTTAGTTTAGTTTTATTTGTCATATGCAAGTTAGCACAGGGTCAACATTGCAATGAAATGTGTTTGACGAGCAGCGGTCTCTCAGCAGCATAATACAATAGAAAAAAAGAAGAAGGTATAATACAGTAAAAGCAAAATATTAGAGTGTCATGCGAAAAGTAAAAGCTTACTAAATAGATAAGTAAGTATAGATGACTAAATATAAATATATCTAAAAAGTGAATAGTAACATTAAAATGAAGTAACCAGTGCAGGTTAAATTTTACTTGTGGAGCTGCAGGGTAACATCTGTATCCTGTGTTGTGTGTGTTTAAGTGTAATGGTTGAGGTGTCGTATGGCTTGGTGGTAGAAACTGTTTTTAAGTCTCGTAGTCCGAGCAGGCAGACTCCTGTAACGCCTGCCAGATGGTAATGAGGAGAACAGCTGATGCGCTGGGTGGCTGTGGTCCTTGATGATGCTGTGTGCTTTCCGGAGGCATCGCTGGAGATAAATGTCCTGAATGGCAGGAAGCCTTGTGTCAGTGATGTGCTCTGCTGCTTTCACCACCCTCTGTAGTGATTTATGGCTGCTGGCAGAGCAGCTTCCATACCAAACTGTGATGCAGCTCGACAGCAAGCTCTCAATAGCACACCTGTAGAACTTTGAGATGATACTCGTGTTCATGCCAAACTTCCTTAGCCTCCTGAGGAAATAAAGCCGCTGGCGAGCTTTCTTGATAACAGCGTCTGTGTGGAGGGTCCAGGAGAAGTCCTCAGTGATGTTGACTCCAAGAAACTTGAAGCTGCTGACCCTTTCGACCATGACACCGTTGATGTGGATGGGTTGGTGTTCCCTGACTGGTCGTTTCCGGTAGTCCACTATCATTTCTTTGGTTTTGCTGATGTTGAGAGACAGGATATTATCCAGGCACCACTCGTGCAATGCCATCACCGTCCTCTATATAGGCCGTCTCATCATTCCCTGTGATGAGGCCTATGATGGTCGTATCATCCGCAAACTTGATGATGATGTTGGACTCATGTTTTGCAACACAGTCGTGTGTGAACAGGGAATATAGGAGGGGGCTAAGCACACAACCCTGGGGCATACCTGTGTTTAGGATGAGTGATGAGGAAGTGTGTTTACCCACTCTCACCACCTGGGGCCTTTTTGTAAGGAAGTTTAGAATCCATCTGCAGATCAGTGTTCCCAGGCCAAGGTCGACAAGCTTCGTGGCAAGTTTTGAGGGTATAATGGTGTTAAATGCCGAGCTGTAGTCGATGAAGAGCATTCTTGCATATGTATTCCCTTTCTCCAGGTGAGTGAGGGTGGTATGTGTTGCTAGGGCGATGGCATCCTCTGTGGCTCTGTTTGTCCTATAGGCAAACTGAACTTCTCCGTGTTTGTTCTTGTTTTCCTTCAGGCTGCAGATCTTCTCAGTGACCTCTCCTATGCAAATGTGACATTCTCCAACCAAAGCTTGGACCTTCCCACCAGGAGCTCTGATGGCAGCGCTGCGGTTTACTCTCCGGTCCAGAACGCGAGCCGTGATGCGGACGAGCCGCTGTACTCAAGGCCGGACTAACCATATGGGCAACTGGGCAATTGCCCCACGAACCCTAAAGGGCCCAGGCTCAGGGCAGCAAGGGCACGAGCAAAATACTGTATCTGTAATCTCCCGCTTTATATTAAACTAGGGTGACCGTACATCCTGTTTTTCATCCAGGAGCAGGGATCGAATTATGGGAGAGCTGGACATCCTACATCCAGGGGAGCCGGAAAAAACGTTTTCTACATCATTCATGGACTCTTGAGCAGAGAGCACAGAGAGCGTCTACTCTCTGAGAGTCACGTGACGTCCGGAGCTCTATAGCGATGATCGTTGGTGTTCAGCTCTCCAGTCTGCTGCGTCCAGCGCACGGTCCATTCTCAAAGTGGCGCAACCAAAAAACGAATTAACCCACGATCGTTCATGTCCGCACATGTTCTCTATTTTCTGTCTTATCTGTGCCTGAAGCGCTCTGCTGCTGCGGAGCTCATCACCTGTGCTGCGGTGATGTCACCTCACGCAGCATCGAAACGCGCTCTCCGCTTTGCGGTCAGGAGATCCCTTTGATCTGCTCAGAAGTAACTGATGAGGTGAAAAAGGAAGAATCCAGGCAACAGTTTTTCTGGAGAGTTTAGAGGAGATGCAGGAAGATGAGAGACAGACAGGACAGGAAAATAGTTCAATAAAAACAAAACAAAAAGTAAAATGTAGGTAGATTTATCTCCACTACACGTTTTTACCTGTATAAAACAATAAGTTCTACACATGTAATATTTATACATCTGATACAATTCAGATCACCTTCAACACTCAGTCACACACCCAGGGCCGTTTCAAGACATTTTGGGGGCCAAGGCAAAATGGCCCCCCCCCCCCCCCCCCCCAGCTGGGCTCCCCAGAAGCCTCTGTGTAATCCATACCCTCTCCAGTAGTGTTAGTTATATGGTGTTTATAAAAGCCCCTCAGACATTACTGACATGTTCTAATATATCAGATGAAAAACTAAATTATCAGACATGCTGTCTCATCTGCTGCTTTTCTGAACTTGCAAAAAGTAACAAAACCATTTGAAAGCCGCTATTTGTGGATTCTCTGAAAGTTTCCATGGAGTTTGTGACAACTTATTTTTTCATTGATCCTATCGTCTAATCTCACAGCTGAAACAAGCATCCTTGATAATCTGTGCACAGGAAGCTTACCGATGCTGTAGTAAAACAAAAGTTATAATAATTTATTATTAATAAAATCTTGTTGCAGCACTAAAGCAGAAAAATGAGATTTTGCATTAAATATGCAAAATATTTACATATAAATTGTTTTAGAGCCCTTTTATTGGCAGAATCTGATATTAATTTAGTTCTTACAAAAAATGGGTCCCAACATGGTTTGTGTGGCGTTGCCATAGTGTGACGTCATAGGCACAGATCCCCTGTCCTCTTGTTTGGAAATGGAAATATGGTCACCCTATTAAACAAACTGTCCACCCGGGCTTTTGCGCTGCACAGAGACGCTTCGCTGCCTACGACTCTTAACATCAGTTGAGAGTCAGTCTCATGCAGACGGACCAATGAAGAGAGGGCCTCAAGTTAAGACCCTCTCCTCATTGGTCAGTCCACACGAGGTGGGTCAAATGTTATCCTGAGTGGGTTACGTGATGTCAGGCATTCAAGTATTGAGTATATTTACTGCATATTACAGTAAAATTTTCTGTATGTGACCATATTATGGTGATCCTTTAATATTGTTGCCCAGGGTACAACAAAGTGTTAATCTGGCCCTGGGCGACTGAGAAACTGAGCTTTAAAACAACCAAAAACTTACAGAACTTCAGTTTTTGCAGCAGTTTAACTCAGACACACAAGCACCAGAAGGTGTTTGCTAGTTTTCATGATCACTCCTAAATATTTCAGATCAAACAAACCTGAATATTACAAAAACAAGATGAAGGTCCTGGTTGGGTCATACTACAGCATCTCCATCAGACACTGCCCAGGACTGTGGACCTCTCCGATGTAGTCAGCTGTCGGTCATGATGCTGCCACCTGCTGGGCGGGGCTGTGCATGTACGGAGAAATAAACAGGCACGCTGTTGAGCAGCAGATCAGAAAACTGGTTTAATGTGAAGAATATTTATGTAATCTGTTCTTTCACCATGTTGTGGCTTTTGTGTTTTATTGAACCATTTGGGCCACCATACATTTCAGTTCATTTGAAATTAAATGACCATCAGGGTGAAGCAGAAGATGGAGGACGGTGAACTGAGTTACTTACCTTCTCAGGTGGATGTAATCCACCCGTCTGCCACCAGAGGGCGGTGTGGTGTTGCGGCGGCAGCGAATCCAGCTGCTGATGAGTGTTCCTGATGTTTTAGACCTCTGATGTAAGCAGAAGGATTTCTAAGACTGAACTCTAGTTTTCTTCGTCCTCTCTCTCATCATTCTGTCATCTCTTCTTTTTCTCCATCGTTTTCCTTTTCCAACTCCCAGTCTGCTCGACCAACAGCTTTCCTCTTTTCTAACGTCTCCGAGTCCCGCTACAACCCCTCCCTGTGTCATTAGTGGCTGAAATAAAGAATTTTGTGGATTGTTTTCCGACATGACTCCAGGTTGCCATGGAAACTAATGAAACAACATCCACCGAAGGCAGCATCGCTGAAGTTCACCAACACTCCCCAGTCGAACTCACTCAGCCGTTCTGCCATTATTGTCCGTGAGGGAAATTTGGTTTGCAGGCGCCTCACGCTGAAAACACATGGCAGCTAATTACACAACTCCTCCTGAATGGTGGAAAAGAGGAGAGCAATAAGGAGTAAGATGTGATCAGCGTGATCCTTCCAAGCACAGATGCAGTGAAGGAACTGCAGAGGGGATTGAAAAGCCGCAGGTTTCTCTGTCAGGTCCAAGCCTCGCAGGCGAAGCTGCGACTTGGTGTTTGAAGCTGTGAACGCTGAACCGACCTCTGACCTGTGTGCTCACCAGCTCTGATGTCTCATGCAGGCAGATGGAACTGAAGAAGGGAGTAAATGCTGGAGGCATCGACTCAACAGATGTTTATAATAATGGTGGCATGAAAACCTGCTCCTCAACAATCCTGCATGTTTTAGATGTTTCCCTTCTCCAACACAGTGGTGGTTTTACCACTAGGCAGAGGTTAGTGGTCGCCTGGGGCCCCCTTATGTTGGGGGGGGGGGCCTAGCCCTGACTGCTGGCACCCCTCTGTTAATGCCACAATGGAGTATTCCTTAAGACGCCGATGCACAAACAGGAAGTGATTGGTAGTCATTCCACTCCAATCCAGGTGGTGGCAGTAATGCACCCAAGTGTTGTTTGCCAAGTGCCATAAGACCACAGATAAGAAGAAGAAGACAGGCGGGAGCGTTCGTAACAAACTCGAAGCGGCGGTGAACATCAAGCATGAGATGGAGTTATCCTCGTGGCTCCAATAAGAGAAAGAAGCAGCTTGCTTCATAAAAGCTTTCATCTTCACTTCCAAAAGTGACGTCGTTTTTCTATGTAAACATCAAAGGAAGCAGAAAAGGAAAGACAATGGAAAATGTTTAAAGGGAGGAAAACATGGACCGAAATGGAAAATAGAAGAAAAAAAAGAAAGACATAATCACAGGAGCGCTGACAGGAAGAGGAAAGCACTCAAAGGGAGAGAAAGACAGGAAAAAGAGGAGGACTAATAAAAAGTGAAAATAACTCGTGTCAGAAGAGGGGAGAGTTTCGTAAATCCAGTTAAAGATACGACTGTAGAAAATTTAGTGTAAGGGGGCCCATGTCTGTGTTCGCCTTGGGCCCCCAAATTGCTAAATCTGCCACTGCTCCAACACACTTGGTGGCTGGATCTCCTCCTCAATGTGTCCTCAGATTCTGCAGAACCTTGTTTGTCCATCTGAGCCTGCTGGACAGTGTGTCACGTTGCGGGTTAGGAGGAGGTTAGGACCCAAGATGCAGATAACACCAGATGACATGAGGCAGGAGCTGTTTAAAAGTAATATCCTTTCTTTATTAGGACGAGGAACCAAAAAATCCAAAAGGGCAGGAAGTCAAAAACAAAGTCCTGATCACCAGGAGAACGGAAGCTCACATAGAGCACAAAACCAAGAGACAAGGCACAAAAGCTCACATAGAGCACAAAACAACGCTGACACAAAACAATGGACCGACAAGACACTAAGACACAGACAGGGCTTTATACACTGGGGCATGATGGGTGGCAGACGGGCTGCAGGTGTGTGGGGAGAGAACCAGGTGAAAGCAATTAACTAATCAGGGAGGAAACTAACATGACCTAAGAGTAAAATCTAAAGACAAGAAAAGCAACAACATAACTAATATTCTAAAGGAAAACCTAGAGGGGCTGCAGCTCTGGGAACACATGAGGAAGACGTAGACAATGACACAAGAGGGTGCTAGGATACACAACAGGAGAACCTAGAGACGAATGGAGAACACAAGGAGACACATGAGGGGAGAGACAGATGCAGACCATGACACAGTGGTCCAGAGTCAGGCTCTTCTGGTCAGGATGTGATGTCACAGCAGAAGAACCGTGTGGGACAGTGTTAGACGTCCATCCGGTCCAGGAGGTGGACCCAGAATACTCAGCAAAACTCCAGCTCCTCCTGGGATGTCCCCAGGGGTTCTCCAGCCAATATTTGGTCATAAATCTTTCCTAAGGGACAACCTCCCTTGGAGTTGTGCTCCTCTGAACGAGGAGGAGCAGTCTCAGTTCATCAGCTGGGATAAAGATGACATCACTCCTCCACAATCTTCAACCATCAACCCAACCCTCCTCTCCCACCTGGAGAAACAAATGTGGGGCCTGCCTTGGGTCATGGAGAGGTCCAACCATCTAGCTCAGCAGGTCAGATCAGACCAGACAGGAAGTCAAACGTAAAACACGTGAAAAGACTGGTGCAGACTTCCTTTTGCTCCGTTAGTCACGTGAAACCTCTGAGGACGAGGTGAACAGAACAGAGAAGTAAAGACCTTTTAGACACATGCTGCTTCCTTTCTCCTTCCTGAACTTCCGAAATCACGCGTGGTCCTGCCGTTCTCTAGGGGAGGTGTTTCAGGGACGTCCTTCTGGGAGGAGACTCTGGGGTGGACGCAGGACCCACAGGAGGCTGAGCTGGCCAGGATTTGGGTTCAGGCTGAGGAGCTGGGTGGTGGAGGAGGAGAAGACGACCCAGGACCTGAGGAAGAGGAAGAAGACTAAAGAATAAAAGACTTCTTTGGTTTTACTTTTTCATCCATGTTTTTGTTCACTTTTCACCATCAGAACCTTGTTTTAATTCACTATAAACAGTGTAAAGAGTGTAGGCAGCAGCTGACGGGCACAGAGCAGCTCTGGAGCGGTTTTAGCAGCTTTTAAAAAATCATCACTTCATGCAAAACAGAAGAAGAGTTGTTTGGTAAACAGTGGAGCCTGCTGGTGAAGCTAACGGTCTAGCCTCGCTGGCTGGGTCCCAGCAGGGCTGCATCTCTGCTCCGTTCGCCCATCAGACGGAGAGAAGAGAGTCAGATCACACGTCCCCGCCGTGGAACGCTGCTGTGGGCTCCAGGCACGAAAATAAACACGGAAAAACACCGCCAAGGCCCGTGGCGTGCAGTCTGAAGGGGAACCAGAACCTCGAAAGAAAGGGTTAGAGGGTGTGTGTGTGTGTGTGAGTGGGTGGGTGCAGGAAAGGAAGTGCCAGAGAAGGTAGAAGTGAAAGGAGAGCAGTAGAAATCAACAGATGACAGGAACAGAAGAAGACGGAGGAGACGGACTGTCGGGAGAAAAGGAGGAGAAGCAGAGGAGGACGAGCGGATGGGAGGCACGCTCCCAGAAAAGGTGAGGAAGAGGAGTGATGTAAACTTATGACAGAAGTGGTGATGGTAGCGTAACTTGTCCTTATTTGTAGTGACATCATTTTATTTGCTTTAACGAGTTTTAAATCGCTGCGTGATTATTTTTACGCTGCTTTGTTGATGTTTCTCCACGTAAAACTTTATTTTAACGGCTGAAACATTAAATGTTAATAATAAACGAAGGTTAATAAACCAACTAGTCACACACATTCACACGTGATGAGCTACAGTGTAGCCACAGCTGCCCCGGTCCCTCCGACCACCAGCAGGCAGTGTCTTGCCCAAGGACACAACAGCAGCATCCTCTGAGCTGGGATGGAACCTGCAACCCTCTGTTTACTGGACACCCCGCTCTACCTCCTGAGCTGGTTCTTCTCCATTAGTCATCACATGGTGACGTTCCTCCCCGCACTAGCCCATCCCCGTGGGGAGCGGTGGGGATGGGCTAGTGCGGCGCGGGGAACCATTTGGTGGTTGCACCCTCTAATCCAACCACTTACCTCTGAGTGTCAAGCAGGGAGTTGTTAAAGTCTTTGGTATGACCCGACCATTCCCACGGTGGACACTCTACTTAGTCCCGCCTGTTCCACATGCCGATCAATTATTTTTTCAATATCCCATTTTTTCCATTTTCCGAATGGATTTTTGTTTCTGTCATGGTTGTGATCTGCCCCTCCCCCTCTGACTCGTGCTCTCGTTCTCCCCTCGTTCGTTGCTTTTGGACTCACCTGGCTCTCGTTAACCTACCCGTGTGATCCCGATCTTCCTGTTGGACTTAGCCCAAGTGAACGGGGATCAGACCACAGTGTGTGTGAGTGTGAGTGTGTGTGTGTGTGTGTGTGTGTGTGTGTGTGTGTGTGTTAACTGGCTGAGCTGACACACAAACAAAGTTCTTAATGGATGAATAAAGTACATTTTGAATTTACTTTATTCGTCCGTTTGGCACCAACCCTTCGTCAGATCATTGTAGCACCTTCACCGTGACGTTGCTCCCGTTTGTGTCATCCCACCCGGGAATATTCACTAGCCAACTTTTCCTGATATGCCATTCCTGCTTCCCAGTCCAGCTCCACCCCCATCTCCGACTCAGCGTGACACTTTTATTTGTCCTGTTTTTGATATAGCGCCTTCTAGAGTCCTGGAGCCCCCCAAGGCGCTTTACAACACAATCAGTCATTCACCCATTCACACACTCATTCACACGCTGGTGGTGATGAGCTACGATGTAGCCACAGCTGCCCTGGGGCGTGCTGACAGAGGCCGAGCACTGGCGCCACCGGTCCCTCCGACCACCACCAGCAGGCAAGGGGTGTCTTGCCCAAGGACACAACGACAGCGACAGACTGAGCAGGACTCGAACCCGCAACCTTCAGATTACGAGGCGAGCACTTAACTCCTGTGCCACCGTCGCCCCACCTCGTCAACAACAACTCGTCATAATTTAGTCTTCATGGACGTGTTCTTCTCAGGGTTCCTTTCATTTTAGTCCATAAGATGCATCCATAGGAGCTCCTCGCTTCTGAGGCTTGGAGCCGCTGCTCCTCCAAATCGAGAGGAGTCAGTTGAGTTGGTTTCAGCATCTTGTGCCTCCTGCACGCCTCCCCAGGGAGGTGTTTCAGGCACGTCCTGCCAGCAGCAGGCCCCCCTGGCCGACCCGGGACACGCTGGAGAAAGCACATCCCCGAGCTGGCCCAGGAACGCCTCGGGGTCCCGCTGGAGGAGGCCGGGGAGAGAGCCTGGAACTCCCCAGATGGGATGCTGCCCTCGTGGCCGAGTAAGTGGAAGAAAACGAGACTAGACGAGAGACAAAACGCATTCGTCAGAAACAAAAGGAATAAAAAAATTGTCAGCAAAAGGATCGCTAGCTAGGAGAAGAGCTTGGAAACGTGACGGAGGAAGACGTTGTTTTTGGTCCCACGTTGACAGCCGCGCTCCCGCAGACCTGTCCCTGCTGTCTCACCTGGGAAAACTCTGGTCACTAATCTGGGAGTTCCAACGATTGTCGCCCTCGCATTCGATAAACAAACAAATGGGATTGTTCGGTCTTGTTTGTTCCCGTGCTCAGTTGGAGGCAGTAATCCGTCACGCCTGTGCGTTAACTCCCATGGGCGGTACCGGTTCCAGGGGGTCCAGGACCTGCTGTGAGGTTTGTGACTGGACAGGAACACCTCCACCCCATCCTCCCTGCTGCTCTCTTTTCTTTCGATGACGATGATTTTTATATTTCACCGTGACATCCTGGCTCTCTCGTCTCACTGACTCCAGAGCAGCATCTCTCCTCCTCTCCTCTTTCCCTTCTCTAGCTGATTCACTCTCTTCCCCCAGGTTTCCTGCACCCGAGCAGCCCGGATCAGGATGCCGACAGTCAGAAAAAC